CGCTCGGCCCGGCCGGGCGGTGGCGTGAGAGGCGGCGGCGCCTGCGGCTGAGGCCGGGGGCCGCCCGGGGGAGCCAGGAGCCCCGTTGGGGTTTCCGAGAGCGGAGCCCGGAGTGGGTCGGAACAATGTGTCTCCGCAGAGAGATGGCCGTGAGTGCGGCCGCGGGGGCTGCGGAGCGCTCGGCGTGCTGACCGCGGGCTTCGGGGCAGGTTGTGCAGTGGACCGTCGCTGCCTTGGCTTAGCGATCTCCTGAAATATTTTGTTGCAATTTTTTTTAAAGCTGAAAATGTATTTATTTTTATAAAGGAGAAAAAGATTTACCCCTAGTTAGCTGTTTATTGTCATGATACGACCGGCCTGGAGGAAAAGCTGCAGGAGAGGCCTTGAAAAAGGTTACTCGCTTTCAGTGAGTGATGGCTGCCTCGTGTGCTGGACGTGGGCATTCCTGAAACCGACAGGTGCAAAGATGCTAACCTGCTTTGTAGGATGCTTTTTTGGTTTTTGTTTTTGGGGTTTTTTTTAAGACAAAAAAGTGCTCCATATGAATTTTTTTTTTTTTTTCCTGTCTTTTTTGAGATGGTCTTACTATGCAGTTCAGGCAGGCCTTAAAGTCACTTTGTAGCCAGGCTACCGCCCCCCCAACAGACAGCCGTCCTCCTGCCTCAGCCTCCACATTGCTGGGGTTACAGGCATGCAGTACCACACCCAACAATACCGTTGTTTTTTTTTTTTTTTTTTTTTTTAAATGTAGAATAGACATTTATACCTCAGCATAGGAAAAAGTATGATGCACAAACACTAAAATATTAGCAGAGATTCTTCTGTGTGAATGGATTTTAGATGGTTTGATTAACATTTTTCAGATTCTCATGCAGAGACATACTTTGTATAGTTGGTATTTAAGGGGAGAGGAGGAAGCTTTGCATGTGATTCAAGAATTTGGTCAGGGACTAGTGAGGAAATACTCATGATTTATGGGCGTTTTGTACACACAGCTGCGTTGAAGAAAACTGGCTTTTTATTCAAGGTCTATAAAAGTACTTGCTGAAACAAGGATGCTTAAAATTTTTGGTCCTGAATGAGCATTTAGCACCATGCTGAAGGAGAGCTACTAAGCCTTTGGGTATTATTCTGTTCAAAGATGGGGTCAGACCTTATTTCTGAATAAAATGATCTTTCACTTGAAATTCTGAATCCAGGCCAGATGGAACCAACAATTTTAATGTTGGTTTTCTTTTTTATTCAATTTCTGAGAAATTTAGAATACGTTCCAAATAACAAGAGATTACTGTCATGTATTTAGCTAATGGTTTTTGGCATTCTGCCTAATACTCTTAGTAACTGTAGAACAGTCTGAAGCCTTTGACTAAATTTTCAAGTAAGTCTTGAAATTTTAGGTTTTTTGGATAAACATGAAAACAACTTAAAAATATTGAATACCCAGGATTGGGATGATGAAGAATGTTATATGTGTTGAGTGAGGTGTTTTACATCTTGGTATCACTTCTATAAATGTCATGCTTGCCAATTTTTTGTAGATGATGATGCCCTTCTTTCCAATTGGTGACTAAGAACTAAAAACAAGGTGCAGCTTGCTAGTGGCAGTGCTCAGGAATCAGAAGACCAGGACCCAGGAATCAGAAGACGTGTGTTGTAGTCCCTGGTTCTGCTACTTGAGTTTCCATGTCTGTGTCCTCATCAGTAACAATGAGGTGGGTTTGACAGTAAGCCTTTCTGTATATTTCACAGGATTACCGTGAAGGTGAAATAGAATGAGGGGTAGAAAAGGTACATACTATGCTGAGAAAGCACTATCTTATTACTAGATAATTACTTCACAAGTAGTGCTGATATGTGCTGAATTTAGTGGAGCACCAAAAATAATATGGGCAAGCCAAGCAGAAGTAGAATTGCCGTGAGTTCAAGGTCAGCCTGAGCTACATATTGAGACCCTTGGCTCAAAAGAAAAAGAGAAATTAGACCTTTGTTCAAATCCCACTTAGTGAGTATCTGATTTTAACTTTAGTTTATCTCAATTTACTAATCAATAATAAGTAAATAATGATTTTGAGAGGATATGTTGTATTTTGCATAAAATAGTATTAAATGAAATAAAATGTATTCATGCCCCAGGGTTGCTTCTTCAGCCAACATCTCCAAATTTTCCACACTCTTCCCTCAAGCCAGTTCCAACCACGTGATCAGATAGTGATGGCAACAACCCCTGTCTTAGTATCAAAATCTTTCTTGGTTACTTTTCTTATTGCTGAGACAAAATGTCCAACACCCAAAGTTAAAAGAGGAAAGATTTATTTCTGTTCACAGTTTGTGCAGGTTTCAGTCTGTAATCAGCTGGCCCTGGAGCAAAGTGGCACTGCAGGGGGCATCACAAAGGACAAACAATCCATGGAAGGCAGAAGGTAGCAAAAGCAGGGGTGACCACTGCCTCCTTTCTGTCCCTTGTATTTTGTCCGTGCTGTGTGTCCTTAGGGCAGGTAGCACTCCCGTAGGATAGGGTTGCCTTTCCATTATCCATACCTGGAACTGTACCAGTCTTGTTTAGTAATCACACACCCTTGATCCCAGCATCGCACATCCCAGATCCAGCCACCTCTGGGAAGCTTCAGCTGTGACTGCATGAGGCTTTGAGGGACACCTAAACAAGCCATAACAGTTTGAATGTATAAGGACCTCAGTTTCAAGTGTATGATTCAGTGTTTTCACTTGCGTTGTTTACTTTATGGCTGAACATATCAATACAGGTTTTTTTAGTTTAATGCAGATTTACATTCCTGTTTTGGAATAGCTATAGCTTTAGAAGTTAAATTCATTGTAAGGAAATGGGAAAGTGCCATGTTTTATCACATGTTTATCAATATATAAAATTTTAAATATATATATATAAAACATTTTTAATAATTAGTAAAATACCCCCAAAGGAATTAACTCTATACTGTTCCAGTTGATTGAAGATCTGATAACACTGTATCCCTGAATCTCAGAAATATCCACATTTCTGCTTATGTAACTTGTTTGTGTTTACTTCTAGGCACTTTTTACTGTCTGAGGAAGCATTCCTGTAATTCATTTTTCTTCACTGCAATATTAAGAATTATATCAAGTAAGTGAAAAGTAGTAAAACTGATTAGTTATTTTCATGGCAGTTCATGGGAACTTTACAGTGGTTGCCACACCTCTTCTATTCTCTGTAGCATAATTTTTTTCCCTGAAAATTATATTCTGAGATTCTGTATAATTCTGTTTCTGTTTGTTAGACGCCATAGGACCAGTACAGACCTGTGACAATATTTTTGAGGAAATGTGTCTATCTTTAGCTTGAAACATGTATAAAAATATTCCTGCTTATAGGGCTGGGAAGATAGCTCAGTAGAAAAAGTGCTTGCCTGGCAAGCTCAAGGTCGTGAGTTCAATCCTCAGGTACCAAAAAAAAAAAAAAATCCTGCTTATAAAAAATGTAGTGCTATCAGCATAACTTCTTGTTTTTGTTCTTAAATAAAATACAGTTTAAGCATAGGACTTATTGTAATCAGCCAGGCATGGTAGCACACATCTGCTCACTGGGGTGGGGGCTGAGGCAGGAGGATTACGGTGAGTTGGAGGCCAGCTGGGGCTACATGGTGAGTTCAGGGCCAGCCTGAACTATATAGCAAAACCCTGTCTCAAAAGAAAAAAGCTCCTGCAATTGATGCTAAATTTTTTTTTCTTGTCCTTTCTAATTTCCTATAACATTTTTTTTTTTAACAATTTTGCATGCATAGGTCTGGTAATCTGAACAAATAATTTGAAGATAGCATTATGCAGTACAGCAACCATTGTCGAATTCCTAGTGATTTGTTTGGTGAATTTCTGTATCAATTGTTTGTTGTTCTTGTTCTTTGTACTATGTTGTATTCTCTTTAGATGATAATTTTTTTTTAAAAGTTCAAGGCAACCCCATTTTATAATTATCCAGTTCTCACAATTATATCAACATTTGAGAATTTCTCTGTTAGTAAGAAAGGTAATGGGACTGGGGAGATGTCTCAGTAGAATAAACGCTTCCCTGGCAAGCGCAAGGGCCTGAGTTCAATCCCTGGTTCCACCAAAAAAAAAAAAAAAAAGAAAAAAAGAAAGGTAATGATTATAATAAAAATATTAGTGCTTAAAAAAAAGGTAATGAAAATCAGTGTCCAGCCTTTAAGTTTGACTAGAACAATAACCCAATATGTAAACAGGCATTGTGTAGGATTTCTCCCAAGGTTTATAATTATGTGGCACATACATTTTTTATTTCTAATAAATTATTTGTTTAGAAATAATTCAATAACAATCGTAATAGTTATTATATTTTTTTTCATTTTTTAGATTGAAAAGATATGAATGAATATCCTAAAAAAAGAAAGAGGAAGACTTTACACCCTTCTCGTTATTCAGGTTAGTGTATAAATCTTATTAAAATTAGGTCATGGCTTAATTTCCATGAAATTGTATTCACGTCTGTTTTGTCATAACATATTAGATAAGGGGCTGGGGAGATAGCTCAGTGGAATAAGTGTTTGCCTGGCAAGGGCAAGGTCCTGAGTTCAATCCTTAGTACCACCAAAAAAAAAAAAAAAATAAGATTTAAATACTTGGATAAATTTTTAGGAAGAACACTTTACATTCTCTGAACATGCATTCCTCTTCATTTGTCATGTGCTAAGGACCCATTAGAACTTTAAAGTATTTAATCTTCACAACTCTTTGTATTACAGATACTTTAAATTAGATCAGTAAATTACTTGTGTAGCATACTTGAGCTTTGCCTCTCTCTTCCCACACATTGACAACATAATGGAAAAAATTTTTACATTGTTGAGGAAACAAAATTTTATGCTCTACGTTGTTTTTGGATATGTGAATTTTCATTGATTGTATACTTTCTGATTGAAGTTGGCTGTGCTATAGGAACCGGCATGGTAGTGCGTGCCAGTAATTCCAGCTATTTAGGAGGAAGATCAAAAATTGAGGGGCAACTTAGACTCCTCTAAAAGACAGGTAGGAGGTATAACTCAGTTGCACAGTGCTTGCCTTCTATAAGGCCATGTATTCAAAAGAGAGAAAAGAGGTCTTTGTAGCTCTCTGCATACAGGTACTTGAGACAGCCTCAGGCATAACTGTTAGCTTACCCCATGTGCGTGTTCTGCACATCTGAGGAAGTTAGGCCTGACCCACTGCTCACTGGTACTTCCCAGGCAAAACCTAAAGCAACCTTATTCAGAAGGCTTCACTGGTCCTCAGACCATGTTCCCTCAGTATTACACTTTCTTTGCACTATGTGGCATACCTTTCTGTTAGTTCACTGTTTTGTGATTTTAACACAGCATTTATTATATGTTTTGAATTCTGATTGTAAGCCAAATGTTTCAAAGTCATTAAATTTAAGTTTATAATTTATGGTTCTTTTAAAGCTTTGATTGAGACTGGTGTGATGGCACGTGCCTGTAATCCCAGTGCTTGGGAGGCTGAAAACAAGAGGATCACTAGAGTCCAATCTGGGTAGTGAGACCATGTAGACTTGTACGAAATACATAAAAAATAAATAAAATAAAATAAATAAAGCCAGGTGTTTAAAAAAAAAAAAAAAAAAAAAAA